CTCTCTTCAGGATTTTGTTTATTGTTGTGTGCTGTCAGGTTGCCTCCAACTTATGGTGACCCCATGAATGAGCAATCTCTAAAAAGTCTTGTCCTCAATATCCCTGCTCAGCTCTTCCAGACTCAAGCCTGTCACTTCCTTTAGGGAGTCAACCAATCTCATATTTGGTCTTCCTCATTTCCTGCTGCTTTCAGCCTTTCCCATCATGACTGTCTTTGGCTTCAAATCATTCTCATAGCATAACAAAGGGGCCCTTTACTGTATATTAATCATTTGAAATGCTGCTTATTTGTACTTTGCCTCTCTGAAATTAACTCACAACAAAATGTGTTGGTTAAGTTGTAGAAGTCATTTCTAATTGAACAGGGCACATTTATTAAAAAGAGGAAACAGCAAGAAGAGGAAGGGGTGGCATGGGTGCATTTTCAATAAAGTTTTCTTTATAAAGATAACATAAAATGGAAACAATACAGAAAAGGGCAAGTGAAATGATCAAGTGTCTCTGAAATACTTTCCCTATGAGCAAAGGCTAAGAGATATGTGACTTTCTAATTTAAGACAAAAAGGGGGGGACATCCTAACTAAGAAAGAACATAATGTTTGTTTGTAAATAGGGTTTTTTTCTCCCTTTCTCATAGTGCTGTAACTTAGGATCACATAGTGAAATTAATCAACAGGGATATAAACAAAAAGGAATTTAAATTCTCAGTACTGAATGAGCCTCAGTCCACATAGGCAACAGATCTGGGGGGTGGGGAAGTAAGATGTCCCTGCTGAGCATATTACACTCACATTGCAGACATAACAAGACCTCATGTGACTTGCACAGATTACAAAGCAAGTGAGTAAGAGAGTTTGGAAAAAATCCCAAATGTTTGTTCGGCCGCAGTCTTAAAGGCATGCATACATGCGTAAAGTCCTATGGGAACCAGTGGATCTTACTATCTTATTAAGTATATTTATACTACAAGCCTAGAAGGACTGACTCCTAATTTTGAATGTGGATGATACAGCCAATTGATATATATTCCCGTTATGCACATAATGAATCTCCATGGATAGAAGCATTGAATAATAACTTTTGTATTGTATTTGTGCAAACTGTCTTAGTTTCTCCATGCTCATCTTGTATTTTCATTGTTGGCATTCAAATTCAACAGTGTGTTGCTGTTACTCTTTAAAAAACACAAAACAGCGCAAACTTTGCTGAATTGTAATAAGCTTGTGATTAGGGAAGTGCACTAGCACCACCAAAAATTGGATTTGGAATTTAAATTCAGAATTACAAATTTGAATTTGAAATTTTAAAAACTCAGAATTTCTGAATATCTGGAACTCTGCTAAAGTCAATCTGAGCACTAAATTTTCCCCTTTAAAAACAAACAAACTGGGAAAACATTTTTAATCTTCCCAATGATTGTGCCAGACAAAAAGAGTACACACCAAGAGCCAGAAGGGACTAGGTATTAGAAAATGACTGTAATGGGCATACTAATTGAACCCTGGAGAGTAGGAGGAGGCTGTGGATGAATGGGTCATGAATACTGTAAATGCATCTTTGAGGGAGGGTACCCTCCCTCTACACATTAAAGAAACCATCATTTGACTCCCCAGCTGCCAATATACTGTACCATTCCTGGGCAAGGTGATTAAGAGGGTGGTGGCAAAACAACTGCAAGCATATCTGGAGGAACAGGATTGCCTTGATCCATTCCTGTCTGGATTCAGGCCATGGCACTGAGACAGCACTGATTGCGCTGCAGGATGATGACCTTTTAAGGGAGACTGACGGGGTCGATGTACTCTGTTGGTTCTTTGCGATCTCTCAGTGGCTTATGATACAGTCTACCACATTATCCTCCTGGACAGGCTCTTGGAGATCGGGATCAAGGGGCTTGCATTGTGCTGGTTCTGATCCTTCCTGAAGGACTGGGTGCAGAGAGTGCAGCTTGGGGGTGATGCGTTAGCCCCTTGGACTTGTGGGGTCCCTCAGGGGTCATCATTGTCCCCAATGCTGTTTAACATCTATGTGAAGCTGCTGGAGAAGGTCATCAGGAGTTTTGGAGTGATGAGTCATCAGTATGCTGATGATACCCAGCTGTATTTCTCCTTTACCACCCCTGTAGTGGATGTTGTCCATTCGAGCATTATTTGGATTTGGTACTGGAATGGACCAGGGACAGACAGGCTCAAGCTGATCTTGGACAAGATAGAGGTTGTGTTCTGGGGGGGGGGTGTCGGTCAAAAAGTTAGGGGTAGTGGTCCCTACGCTGGATGGCATAGCCCTCCCACTTGGGAACCAAGTTCAGAATTTGGCCATGCTTGTAGACATGGCTCTTTCTTGGAATGCCTCTTGAACAAGATAGAGGTTGTGTTCTGGGGGGGGTGTCGGTCAAAAAGTTAGTGGTAGTGGTCCCTACACTGGATGGCATAGCCCTCCCACTTAGGAACCAAGTTTGGAATTTGGCCATTCTTGTAGACATGGCTCTTTCTTGGAATGCCAAGATTAGTCTTTAACCAGCTTAGGCAGGTTGCAACTCTGCCCCTTCCAGGATGACTGCTCCCTCAGAACCCTGCTGCAGGTATTGGTCATTTCCCAGACTGACTACTGCAAGGTTCTCTATGTGGGGTTTCCTTGGAGTCTGGTCTGGAGACTCAAGCAGGTCCAGAATGCAATGGCCAGACTGGCAGCCAGACATATCAAGCAGACATGATTGCATCAACGAACCTGCACTGGTTATTCATGGAGTCCCGAATTAGGTTCAAGGTCTTGACTCTCACATGCAAAGTCCTCCATGGTTTGCACCCACGTTACTTGTTGGAGCATCTTGACCCAATGTCAACTGCCCAGCCCACCAGATTGTTGCAGATAAGACTCCTCCATGAGCCACCCTGAAGGAGATCCATAAATCTTCTACAACAGGAAGGGTCTTCTTTACCGTGGCTCCACCTTTGTGGAATCAGCTCCAGAGGATCTTTACCTGGCCTCCTGCCTGGCAACATTTAAGAGGCAACTAAAGATAGAGAGGCTTTCCACTCTACCCTTGGCTGAGCCAAGGTACTTTTACATCTCTATTCAGTTATTTGTTGTTTGTATCTGTGTTATATTTTCGCTTTTCCACAGTTTTTTTTATTAACGCTGTCAGTCTCTGGTTAGATGTTATGGTTTTATCATATTAACTCTTTGTCTAATTTATATCAAATTGAAACAAATGGACAGACAGACAGGAATGCTACCAAGAAATGCCAACAGCATTGGGGAAGCAGAGGGCAGGCTGCACGGGGGAGTGGGCAAATATTCTGGGCAGTACTGGCTGCCAAATTGAAGCCTGTGGTGGGTGGGAGCTGCTCCAGTGGAGAATAGATCTTGCATTCTGGTCTAGGATTCTGCTCTATATTTAATGAATAGTCATTAAATATGTGTTGCACAAGAATGATATGCAACATTAAAGAAGGCACATATGGCATAGCAGCTTCAGTATCACTACCATTAAACTACAAAAAAAATCTGATTTATAAAAAGAAGGAAGTCCTTAATTTAGAACTTCACTGGAGAAACACTCAATGAATTTTGGGTTTCTATTTCTAGAAATATGGAGACCTCTTGTGGCCATTCAGGGATAAGGCAATTTTTTTTGTCCAGTGGTATCTCATTTTCTGTGATTTGCAGAGTATATTTTCATAAAAAACAACAGACCTTGAAGTATGTTAAAGAAGAATACGTTGATTTTGTTATGAGCTTTTATAAGCAATGGCAATATTTCACTGGAAGCTCACGAGCGTGTGTCACAATGAGTATCTCAGTCTTTAAGGTGCTACTGATACTTCTATGTGTGTGTCCCCCTCCCCCCCAAATTCCCTCAAAGACATTTGTCAGTCTGGGTTTGAATCTTGACATTGTGACTGTTGTTGTTGTTGTTGTTGTTGTTGTTGTTGTTGTTGTTGTTGTTGTTGTGTGCTATCATGTCAGAACTGATTTACAGCAATCCTAATAAGGTTTTCAAGGTAAGTGAGATATCTGAGGAGTGGTTTTGCCAGCCTCAGCCCCCCACCCTAGACTGGCAATTTCCCAGAGCTAGGTAGGGATTTGAATCTTGGTCTCCTGAGCTATAGCCTGTCACTCTATCCACTACACCATGCTATGTATATGTGAATTTTACACATCCAAGTGTCACTTCTTGAATTCCCCACTTCATCAAAATGTATTATCTAGTTGTAGATACCATCTCATAATATTTTTAATGACTTTGTTCAGTCTGCTTAAGCTTAATTTTACTTCCAAAAATGTATTCTTATTTTTATTTAATATTCTTTAAGCTGTGTCAGGCCACAAAATGAATACATCCTGAACAAGCAGACAACAGTTGTGGATCCTGGGTTAGAGAATATATTTGTTTCTCAAAGAGGAAGCTGTTTTAGCAGCAGCAGAGGTCTTGCAGCACCTGTAGAAGATTTATCTGTTAAAACTGTCACAGAAGTCTTTCCCTCACTTTTTGTTCATAGTTCTGTTTCTGATTTCAAATATACTTTCAGCAGTAGAATTTTATTTGGCAACCCATTAATTGTTGCAATGAGTTTGTTGAAAACATTGTACACAGTATCACTGAGCAAACAGAAGCTGCATTAATCCCCCAACGTGGGAAGGATTTTTATTATATTACATTTGTGGGAAATGGAAAATGAAGGACAAACCTTATGAAACTTCTTTACTGTGCAGATTCAAATTCTCCCCAGAAATAATAGGAACAATGCTGATTTTTCTCATTATTTGTGTTCTCCTATTATAATCTCCAGTTTTTGTGTGTGTTGTTCATGTCATACACAAACTCCTTCAAGTGTCTCTTCTAAATCTCCTGAGAGATAGAATCTTTCGACAATTCCTTCATCTCACTAAAAACCAGGTTCTACAGAAGACTGTGGGTATCATTAGAGCAGCAGCTTCATCAGCTAACAGTGAGCATGCTCCCTCTGTGGAGCAGGCTCAGTAACAGCAAGAGAGAGAGAGGAAAAAAAAATCTCACGGGGAGGATCAGAGAGGTGGATTGAGCCAGGAGGAAAACGTGAAATGGCAGAAGAGAAGGAGAACCAGACTGTAAGTGAAATGCCTCCGGCTGAAGTGGATTCTAAGCCTGATAACAAACTAATCCTCTACCATTGGACACAATCTTTCAGTTCTCAAAAGGTAAATGGCTAGCCTGGTAGAAATCTGACATTCCAGGGATGTCAGGTTTCAGAACCCAGACAGCTCCTTCTTTCCGGTTTGCCCACCCAAGGGCGGATGCTGTGCTAGTGAATGGATGGTGCTTATTTAGGCGCAGTGGTGTGTATCCTTGGGAGAGGAAGGGATGGATGACGATGTTGAGGGGGTGCATGAGCCGAAAGCCTTTCCAAACAGGCCTGAGAGTCCTTGTAATTTTCACTGTTTGTTTTGCATTTGAAAATAATCAGCTGCTTCTAAAAATATGTGAACTGAGCTGTATAACAAAGAAATGTTTCGTGCCAGCTTCTACCTATGTGGGCTTATTTACAGCCAGGGTGGGGAACCTCTCGTCCTTCACATGGTTTTGCCTACAGCTCCCATCATCTCCATTCAGCAAGGCCAGTGGTGAGGGATTGTGGGAGTTAAAGTCTAAAAGAATGGCTACACCAGGGACTCCAGCTCTGATTACAGAAACCACACAGCAGTGTTTCTCCACTAGCTCTCTCCAGGTAGGTTAGATTGCAACTCTCATCATCATCCCAGTTTAACAGCACAAGAAGATACCTGGTTGGGAAAGGGCTACCACACAGTAAACAAAGCAAGTCAAATAAAAAAAAAACTCTTCTAGCTTTTTCCTTGATGTGTTTAGTACGTCTCTGTTATTAAACCAGCTTCCAAGGAAGCCATTTGCACCCTAGGTGCAACTGTTGTAAGCAATTTGTTACTTCTCTCTCTCTTCCTATATATATATATCTTGTCATGTTGCATGTCTGTCCCTGCCAACATCCTCCAAGAATGTAAATCAGGAAGTATAGAGAGTAAAAGGCACAAATTACGTGCTGCCAGTAAGTTGTGTCTTTTTCTGTAGATGTATTTTAATGTAATCTTATGTTTATTGCTGTCAACTCTTACGTTGATGGAAAGGGCCCCCAATCCAACGATGCATTGACAATTCTGATTGGTGCTCAGGGAACAGTGTGTTCTCTTATTGCCATTTAAATTGTAAAAATGAATTGTCTCCTTTTCACTAGGTTTTTATTTATTCATTTCAGAGGATATCTACCTTTCTTTTATTAATCTGTGTAAATCAAGTGGCTTATAGTTTAAGAGCTGTCGAATAAAACAACATAATGAAATAACATATAAGGTAAAATAATGTAAGATGTTTCTAGTAAAACAACAGGAAGGAAGCAATATAAACATGCAATCGCATTGTGTGCATCAGTAGGCGTGATTCGGTTCATGTCTTGCTTCTAGCAGTTCCTCAGTTTTAACCCCCCCCAAATGGTGAAGATTCATTTTCGTGCAAAAACATTTTATTAACCAATAAGGAAGTATCATGAACAACAATCTCTGTGGGGCCAACGGGCTCATCCAACAGGTCTCTCCAGGACTAACAATCTTTCCGTTCAGGTGTGACAAAAGAATTTACCAATGAGGGCTTACCCCAAATCACTTGTGGTCAGTGGGTTTCCATGTAGGATTTTGTAGGCTGGGACAGATAGTCCCACAGCATGGGTGTCTCGCCTATTCCCCTTCAGTGGGAGTTGTAGGACAGCTGGTTGGTATGGGTTAGTCCTCCTTCTTCCAGACATCTCCCTTTCTGGCATACACGCACGCTGTCTATTATATAGGCTCGGCCCCTTCCAACTGTACAGCAATGCTTCCCTTCTCTCCCTTTAGGGTACCTATTCTCTCCCTGTCTATTTTAGTCTCTGTTCTGCTCACCAGATGATATTGCTGACACCTCTCTATCTCTTGAAGGGGAAATTTCATCTTAAATTTCTCCTGAGTCCAGGGATCCTTCATCTCCAGCCATCTCTAGCCTATCAGAATTTCCTCCTTCTCTCTCCTCTTTTTCCTGTTCTCTTCTCATTCTATCCCCCTTTCCCAATCCACCTCTCCTTTTATTTCTTCCTCTGCCTTCATTACAAAGTACCCTCTGCTCTTGGGAGATTTGTCTTGTCCATTGTTTTCCTGTGATTTTCCCCTTCCCCCCCTCGCTCTTTCTCTCCTGCTATCCTAGATGGGCCATTGTTGGCACTAAGATGTAAACAGTCTTGTAGCCCTTAGTAGTGGATGATTGAGGGTTCAGCTCACCTTCTTCCTTGAGAGCTATTGTTTGCTCCTTCTCACAGTAGGTAGTATTGAAATGGAAAACAGAATGTCATTTGATATAAGTATACCTTGACTGCCCTGAAACAAGCCAACAGTGATGGAACGTAGCCCTTGGTAGTGGATGATTGAGCTCACCTTCTTCCTTGGGAGCTATTGCTTGTTCCTTCTCATAGTAGGTAATATTGGAATGGAAAACAGAATGCCATTTGACATAAGTATACCTTGGCTGCCCTGAAACAAGCCAACAGTGATGGAACTATGCAGAAGTTTCCGAGGAGAATGTGCTTTTATCAGCACATGGTCCAGTCCAGAGCTAGGATAAACTACTTTTTTTGGACTACAATTGCTAGAATCCCAGTGACTGTGCCAATATGGGATTGTGTGAGCTGTAGTAACAAAAATAATGACTTTCCCAAGTTCTAGTTCTTTGTCTCATTAACTCCCACTTGCATGATTGCTAAGAACTCTAAGGAAGTCATACTTTCCTGTCTTGCTTCACCCCAAGACATGTGGGAAAGACGTAATGTGTTCAAATGGCAGAAAGTGAAGAACAGCAGGATGAATTGGACAATGCCTCAAAAAATTAAATAGGAAGAAGAGGTCTCCAGTATTATACTTAGATCAGGGCCCTTAATGTGGGTTTCCCTGTTCTGTGAATCAATAAGGTGTGTGTGTGGTGGTGGTGGGGAGTATTAAATCTTCAGTAAGAATATTCCTCATTTTTTTTCCAGGTACGCTTGGTGATTGCTGAAAAGGGCCTCAAATGTGAAGAGCATGATGTTAGCCTTCCACTGAGTGAACACAATGAGCCTTGGTTTATGCGATTAAATGCATCTGGAGAAGTGCCTGTGCTCATTCACAGAGAAAACATAATTTGTGATGCAACTCAGATTATTGACTACTTGGAAGAGACTTTTGTGAATGGTAATGTAACAACATTGTATATTTTTAATAATGTGGGTGTGCGTGAGTTACATTTTAAGGGAGAGATGGGCATAATTTGCATCCTTTAATCCAGCCATTTTCAGTGGAGGCCCTATGGGGCCCGTTCCCCCCGTCACATTTGAAGGGGGCAATAGACTGGAAACAATTCTTCACACACTACCTTATAAACTTTGTTATGAGGTTTATACAATCCTGATTTGGCCTCTACTGTTTTCATTTTGTGATTATGGCTGTGGCCAAAAAAAAGTTGAAAATGACCGCTTTAACCTACTGAAGCTATGCATAAGAACATAAGAACAACCTTGCTGGATCAAGCCAAGGGCCCATCTAGTCCAGCTTCCTGCATCCCATAGTGGCCCCACTGGATGCGTGTGGGAACACACAAGATAACTACATACCCATCTCCTGATACCCCTCCTCTGCATCTGGCATTTTGAAGTAACTTCCTTTTAAGCCTGTAAAGTATCCATCCCCATCATGATTTGTAACCTGCAATGGACTTTTCCTCCAGAAATCTGTCCAATCTGTCCAATCCCCTTTTAAAGGCATTTAGGCCAGATGTCATCAGCACATCCTGTGGCAAGGGGTTCCACAGACTAACAACATGCTGGGTAAAGAAATAATTTTTTGTCTGTTCTCACTCTCTCAAACTCAATTCGAGTGGATGTTCTCTGGTTCTGTTATTATGTGAGAGGGAAAAGAGCTTCCCTCTATCCAATTTATCCATCCCCTCTATAATTTTATACATCTCAATCACGTCCCCACCTCAGGCGCTTTTTCTCTAGACTAAAATGCCCAAACACTGTAGCCTTTCCTCATAAAGGAGGTGTCCCAGCCCAGTCATCATTTTAGTCACTCTTCTCTGCACCCTTTCCAGTTCAATTATGTCTTTTTTGAGGTGCGACAACCAGAAAGTACGCAATATTCCAGGTGCGGCCCTACCAGCGTTTTGTACAATGGCATTATAATGCTGGCTGTTTTCAATCCTTTTAAAAATGATACCTAGCATGGAATTGGCCTTCTTCACTGGGATGACACTTTCATTGAGGTGTCCACCAGCACACCAAGATCTCTTTCCTGATCTGTCACGCACAGCTCAGAACCCGTGCTCAGAACCTATGCTCTACCACCATTGCCAAAACAAGGTAGTACACTAGCAAAATCTTGCTGACTGCATATTCATTTTAAACCAAGGTGCACAGGGAGCACACACTGTGTTTCAAAGCTGAGTTCTGGGGAGGCACCATGTCTAGCATTCTGAAATTTATAAAATGTGTGGTGATCACAGCTTTGGCAAGGAGGAGGTATGGATGGGGGATAAAAAAATGTTTAGGGATACAGACTATCTACAGACCACATATTTTCCAACCCAACTTTATGCCTCAGGATTTGTTTTCATGTACAAATGTTTGCCCGTGGCTTGGGTAAGTTGTTAGCTGCAACACATAATACACAACTTAGACCTTGCAGTACACAGAAAAATAGACTAGTACGAGAATTGTTTGAGCTAGGTTTCGATCAAAGTCAGACAGGGGTTTCCTCTCCTTAGGGAGATGGGAAGCTGCTTCAGCCCAAATTGGAATAATTGTTCATCTACCCCAGCATTAACTATTAACTAATGGGCAGTGCCTCTCTAAGATTTCAGACAGGACCTTGCTTTGTTCCCTGCTTTCTGAGCCTCCTAAATTGAAAAGTCAGGTCTTGAGCATTAATGTCTGAAGCCATCCCTAATGGAGCATAGGTTGGGTGATATTAAGGATGGTTTCAATAGGTCTTTATTTCCTACACACTATTAAAGTGGTAAGAGATAGTAAGACCCTTAATATTACCCCTTCAATTTTGTATTAATAATTAGCTATATGTGTCTGTCCACCCAGAAAAAACTCCAAAACTAATGCCAGAAGAAGGAAACATGTATTATCCAAGGGTTCAACACTATAGGGAGCTCTTGGATTCCTTGCCTATGGATGCCTATACACATGGTTGCATCTTACATCCTGAATTAACCGTTGACTCGATGATTCCAGCTTATGCCACAAGTCGAATTCGAAGTAAGTACCATTAATATTTTAATAATGTTTCCTATGTTTTCTCAGGCTTCTGTAGCACTTCAAATACCACTCAAAATACTGAGATGTTAATCCTTTAGAGCCTCTGTAACATTTTGCAGTTTTTAATTGGAATGGAGAAAACCACTTGCTTTCATTGTACATTATTGCAACAGTACATAGGTCAGATCATCTTTTAAATGCTTTGCTTCCATGTGATTACCATTTTGAAGTGGAGTTATATATTGGGGAATTTTGGTTCTGCCTTTTAGTAAGCAGAATATGAGGTAGAAAAAGTAACAACAACAGCAACAACACAGAAATGTGGAAAGATCGGTTCAGTCTCAAACCCCACCCCCTGATTTCTTTTCTGCACAAATTAGCACTTTGCATGGTAAAATCACTCTAGAAAAAGGCATCTTTACTTACAGTTACCACTTTTAGTTACAGTCAGAACAGAAAAGGCAGGGAAGCCATGTTGAAACCCTCCATGCTTAGAGGAAGGTCAGAAATAGTGGAAGGCTTTAAAACCATTAATACAAACAAACAAAATTGCTATTATCCCAGTTAAATAACAAATATAATGGTTGTGGTTTTTTCAGGGTTAATTCCTGTGACCACAGCATCTATCCCTAAAATATACTTCAGTACCTAAAGGAGCCTCAGGTTTTAAAAACACTGGGCAAAACCCTGTTTCCTAAATTATACGGTGTAAGGTTGGCAACATCACTGACAGGTGGAGATTGCTGGTAAGTAGAATTCATGTGTTCATCTCAGACTTCCCAGCTCACCCACAGTGAGACTGATTGAGGGCATGTTGTGCAAGCACTGGAACTGAAGCAGGAACTCTTTAATTGCCAGCCATCTCCCCTGCCAGACAATATTAGTGGCAGTGGCAGATTGCCAGTAATTAGAGGTCCTGCTTCTGTCTCAGGATTCACCCCACTTGTGTGCAATGAGAAAGATTACAAACAACTTTGGCAAGCCTTGGGATCAAAGCAGGAACTCTTTAATTACCAGGAGTCTCCAACTGGTGATGCCATCATCCTTATGCTGGCATAATTTATGCAACATTTGTGATGGTTATAATGCTTATGAAGTTCTCTTTTGAAGCAACATTTTTAGAAACAAAGATGTGCCCTTTGACTAATATCAGATGGCTTTATCCTTAAGAGTTTCCGTTTTTAAATGTCTAATTCATCCATATTTCCATTTATTTATCATAAATTGCAGGAATGAAATAACACAACTAAAATTGTTTTCCTTTTAAATGCTGCTTTTCATTTACAGAAATTATCACAGATCTATGGGATTCATTTTAAATTGAGGACTGTAGGGTTTGTTTGTATTATGTGAGTAAAATATTGAATCAAGCAGATATTATTTTTTTTAAAAAAAGTTCCTGACCAATGTGTTTAAATATGCTGAAGTATTAACTTGCAATGTTGATGAAATTTGTTAAATTTTAGTGATCTTAAGGTAACATTTTTAGTGAGTTTATTGTTCTTTTATCAGGCCAAATAGGTAACACTGAATCTGAATTAAAGAAACTTGCTGAAGAAAATCCAGATTTACAAGATGCATATATAGCAAAGCAGAAACGTCTCAAAGTAAGGAAAGAATATATATTGATGAAAAGCTGATTCAGCATGCTAGGGTTGCTGTGATTGGCATATAATATTAATAATTGGATACTACTTAGCAATGTGTGTACTTACCTTAAGAAAAAGGCTATTTGAAGCAAAATTGTTTATAGTAACTTCGCTTTTGTGTACATGTCTTGCTATTTCTGCTCTGTGTGCTCACTGCGTAGAGCCAAACCAAATGCATGCTCTCTCAGATGTAATTCTCACTGCGTTCAGGTAAGTGTATATTGTTTTGTAGCATAAATACATTGTCTATTTATTTTCTCCAGTCTAAACTGATGGATCATGATAACATAAAGTACTTAAAGAAAATATTGGATGAACTGGAAAAAGTTTTGGACCAGGTTGAGACCGAGTTGCAGAGAAGAAATGAGGAAACACCAGGTAAGCATTTTTTCAACATCCATTCTTGATCAGAGTAATGGCAATGCACTGATAGTTCCAAATTGGATTATATAATCTATTTTGCATAAGGTTGCCCTTGTGGACTGTTCAGAACATCCTACAGGTCCTTCTTTAATAAGGACAGATTAAAGAGATGATATAACAGCAGGACAGTTATATTTCCAATTGGCCCAATTCAAAATGCTAATGGATATCTTTAAAGTCCTATGAGGTCATGCCTAAAGCAATTCTTGGGGAGCAACCTGTGTTCCTAGAGCAGAGATGATATCTTGGGACGTGTGCCACTGAGTATGAAAGTATGGCTCACACCAAGTTAAGTGTGAGTAGCCCCCTTCCCATCTCCTCATACAGAAATGCTTCAGACAAAACTTCAGACAAAACACAAGAAAAGGAATGAGTATTTACTGGCTTTGTAGGAAGAAAAACAGATACAATTTTTCAGATTCTTTTAGGCCACAAAATGCCAATTGTGCAAGAGGGAATACATATTTTTTATATTAAAGACCAAAATCCTAAATACAGTGGCCATGAAGAAAGCCCTGTTAGGTTAAATGGGATGCACTAGTTAGTAAAGATGCTTAGATTTGTTCACGCAAGTGTCTTGTGAGCTCTCGTTAGTATTCCTTGACTTAACCAACCCTCACCCTACTTTAATGTCTGAAAACAGATGATATCCGGTATGGTCAACCATGAATAAAGCCAGTGAGTATCATGCCTATCTCCCAATGACACTGGGATTTACAAATTCATTCAGTTATGAGCCCATCTAATCCCAGAATTCTGTTTCCACAATAGCCAGCCTGATGCTTATGGAAAGCCCATAAGTGGAACTGGAGAGGGATACCACTTTCTTGCTTGCATACCTCAGCAACAGTAATGCAGACAGGAATAAGGCCTCTGATACTGGAGAAAACATACAACCATTATGAACTGTTTGCTTTATTATTTACATTATTTACATGCCTCCTGATCATCAGAAGATCTCAAAATGGAGTACAAGCAATTACACAGTTTAGAACAATTTCAAATAATGCATGCAGCACATGCTATATTAGCACTCCACAACAGATAGTGAGCCCTCGGCCCAAAAGGTTTGGTGAGGAAACACCCAAATGGAAAGAGAGTAATCTTTCCTGGGTCTCCACATAATTTCCTTTTTTTCCAGCAGTCAAATGCAGGGGAGGATCTCCACATAATTCCTAGGTCTCCACATAATTTCCTTTTTTCCAGCAGTCAAATGCAGGGGAGGACCTCCTGAGCAGATTATAAAGTTTGGCCAGATACAGGCATACCTTGATTTACGAATTTAAAGCGTTCTCCGGAACATTACGTAATGCGGAAAAGTTGTAAACCGAAATACTGATTGCCATAGGAACAGAGGCAGTGCTACAAACCTCCAGGCATAATGCATCCTGGGGAAACTTTCTTCATACTCTGAAAAAAAACAAACCAGAAAAAAAGTAAACTGAGACATTATTTTCCTGCTTCGTAAACTAAAAATTAACTGAGGTGTTCGTAAACTGAGGTACACTTATATATAGATATCGGGAGAGCCATTCTTCCAAGTATGGACTTTGAATTGAAGGGTATTGGCCATCAATACATGTCATATTTATCTGTAAGGTGTTCATGCCAAGAATTGGCTGCCCCGTATTGCATTAGTTGCATGGAAGCTCCATGGTGTCTTCAGTGAGTAATATCATTGATAATTCTGTCATCAATGAATTTGCCCAATCCAAATTGGTGTCCATCACTTCATATGTAGCGATTTGGACAGTATTGGCCAAGTGTTGCATGTTGGTGCTTCAAATTTCAAGAAAAACAATCTGATTCTCAAGGTTAAGAAGAAGGGGGAAGTTAATTTTTCAGTTCCTTTAACTTAGACTGGGGTTATTCATTTTAGACTGGTAACTTTTCAGCTATTATAAGCAGTGCCTGGCATTTGCTCATGAACGATCTGTTTATCATGTCTTTTCCAAAATAGTTTGGGACAACAGGGAATTAAACACAATACCGAAAATAGTCAGAGGGCTGCTAACCTGGAGCTCTTTCATATCCAATTGCAGGCTACTAACCTCTTAACTCTTTATTTTTTATTAGAAAATGGGCACCAGCCTTGGCTCTGTGGTGAGTTTTTCAGTTTGGCTGATGTATCCCTTGCTGTTACGTTGCATCGACTGAAATTCATTGGACTGGCAAGAAGAAACTGGGGGAATGGAAAACGACCTAATTTAGAAGCCTACTATGAGCGTGTCTTGCAGAGAAAAACGTTCCACAAGGTTTTAGGACATGTCAACAACATATTAATCTCAGCAGTTCTTCCAACTGCATTTCGAGTGGCAAAGAAGAGGGCACCAAAAGTGTTGGGCACAACTCTTTTGTTTAGCTTCTTAGCAGGAATAGGATATTTTGCTTTTGTTTGTCTCCGGAGGAGATTTCCCACCATGCTGTTATCATTTAGACCGAGGCAGAACTACTTATAGATTTGTGGGGTGGGTGAAGTTGTGAACAAACCATTTAACACCCTAAAGAATTTGGTCTGAGGGAGAATGGACCATAATATTTATATATATGATTTATTACCTTTCTGCCATTACTGAAATATATTGGCAATGCACAAATAACTGAAGGCTCTTCTAAATGAAACATTTCTTCTCTATAACATACCGGTACTGATTTGTCACAGTTGTTACTGATAGTTTTCCTACCAGCCATACGATATAAAGTTTGCCTCAGTTCAAACAGTAATGAAAGCTGTGCCTTTTTGGGTTTTGTTGTGAGGTATGGGTTATTCTTCATTTTGATTTATACTTGGGGACGGGGCAGAATTTAGCAGTATGGTGTTTCCCAGAGGCAGTCTATTTCTGCAATCTGAGTCTCCAATCATAAGCTTTAAGTTAACTTAAAATGCCAAAACCAAAACAACATGAAATGAAATAACTGTTTTAGAGGAGAAGCTCTAAGCTGGGAAGTTGATATATTACATAGTTATTAAAGGATTCCTTCAGACTTTCTGAAGTAAAGTGGTTTTTGGTGAAATTGACATGTTCTAAATAAAGTTTAGATGTGGCTCCTGCTATGCTCTGTGGTCCTTCTGGACAAGCAGAGAGAAACCTGGAGAAAGGGTTACTCGTATGGGTACGAGTTTTCAATAATCTGGAAGAGCCCTGAGGATCTTGAGTGCTCCAAAGAGAAGATAGCTATGAAATGGCCCTTTATTGTGTTCTCTTGCACGCCTGTAAGATTTTGCTAGATTTGCAGGGTGTAGTGTCTCTCACATGTGAGTCATACATGCTACCCTGTAGCCCTTTTTGTCCCATGAAACATTTATTTGGAGAGTTGGGAAACTTTTCTGAGCAGCATGTAATGAAATTTATACAGAGTGCAGAAGCGGGTGGCTGGACCTAGCATGAACACTGCTCTTCCAAGATTTCTTTACCCCACTTTTGGCTGACTCCCACTCAGTAGCACCCTCCGTCCTGTCCTACACTGTTCAAGATGGTCTACACAGCAAAGCAGGGTGGTGGGAAAGTTCCACAAACTTCCATCTGGTCTCAGTACTTGAGCCAAACCAATATCATTTCCTTTTCAAGCTGCCTATGTTGTGATTAGAGAGAGAATATACAGAATATCATTTTAACTTAAATACTGTACTTGATATTTTATTTTATATGATCGTTTGATTATTACATATTTATAATTGGCTAAGTAGTGAAGCCTCTCCAAAGACACCACTACAAATGCTTTTTAAACTGAATCCAAATTCAAGAGCAGGTGATACCTTTATTAGACTACTGAAAAACCAAGCTTGATTTTTACTGGTCTAAGAAAGACATCTCCTGCTTTTGTATTTGTATTGTTTTGGGAAACCACACAGCCTTTTTCTATATTTTTTTTAACTGAGTGGCAGTTAAAACATATGGGATACAGGTAAATATTATGTTACTCTGGCTAGAACTGTAATCATTTACATGATCACACAAGGGCAATTGACAAAGACTTTATCTCCCTTAGCACAACTGGGCATGCACTGATTGTGAGATTGGTCACCTGAAAGGGATTCTCTCAGGGTTGTAGGAGAACGCTTTGTAATTGTTCAGCTGTATATATAATATGTGAACTAGATGTGACCAGATTAGTAATAGTGTCCTAAAAGGCCACTTGCTTAAATTGTAGGTTGGCACATTTCAGTCATATTAGGAGGCACACAAAGTAAGTGTGAGTAGATATTTAGTAATTACATACAGGATAGGTTTCCAAGGCCTCTGCTGTTCATGAGAGCTACACAGGTTAATGGGCCATATGGTTTCCTTCATCCTTGCACAGGAGTGACATGCACTATCCATTCAGAAGCACTGTGCATCATGCACTGGATATTATCTGCATAAATTATAAATGTGTCTTTTTGAATATGTTTGTTTTAAATGTAAGCATATCTCTTGTACCTGTGTATGAATGTAGCCAATGACATGCTCAGAAAATGTCTTTTTCACAAATGCATCTTCTTCAGTAAAATAAAACAGACAAGCAAAAACAAAGATTTGTAAATGGAGTTGTGCTAGTGAACGGTATTCCATTCTGAGGACGGGAGGCATTAAAATTACTGATCAGTGGTCTGGCTAAGCACGGTTTCAAAATGGTGTAGTTGTATGAGTAGCATGGGAGATTGATTGATTGATTCATTGATTGATTTATTGATTGATTCATTGATTCATTCATTCATTTAATTTGTATACCACCCATCTGGCTGAGGACAATAGACAACAATTCTAATGAAATAAACTTAAATTATATTACCATAAATTTCAAAGTAATAAAAACAATCTGTATTAGATACTCTAACTTAAATACAGCACTATAAAACATTTAAAACAGTTAAATATACATACAATAGCCACCTAGAGTGGTCAGAATGACCAGATAGGCAGGATACAAATAGAATAAATAAATAAAATAAAACATTTAAATGTTATTATGTTTCATATGTATGGAAATGAAAACTGAACAAATGGTGAGTCATATCCCAACTCAAGACTCCACTTAATACCAATGGAATCATTTTATCTCAATACAGTGGTGCCTCGCACAACGGGCGCAACCATTTCGGGGCTTCCGGCAGCGTTTTCGCGCGCTCCCCTTGCTTACCAAGGGCGCGAAAACGCTGCGCCCCGGCCCCTTTCGGCTGTTCCGGCGGCCATTTTGGACCCGCCGGACAGCTGATGGCAGCCATTTTGGCACCCTCTTTGTGCGAGGGGAGGGCGCGAAAATGGCTGCCGGCCCCTGGGAAACATCGCACTACGGTGAGTATTCTATGGCATTGGAACTCATTAAACGCTGTTTAATGCGTTCCAATGCCTTTTGGTGTTCCGTAGTGCGATGTTTCCCACAGCGAAGGTTAATCCGGAACGGATTAACCTCGCTGTGCGGGGCACCACTTATATAATCCTTTGGTTACACATTTTTCCTGTTGGAATCCAGTCCTGTTTTTTTCCAGGTGAAATTTTCCTACTTAACTACTAGTACATGTGCTCTCCCAGCTGTAAAACCACCCAAATGTCAAACAAACTCATAGCACACCAAAGTCTTATGGACCACTCATTCCTGACTATACTTTCAGGTGTCATCCTCCCAAAGAAAGAATATCGGACTCTATTATGTATATAACTATATGAAATGCGTACAAAATGTGTACAACTAATTAATTATAGCTATTTATTGAAACGGATGGGTTCATGACTGAACATGTTATTATAATTCCTGTTATGGTGTCACAGATAACAAAAAGCTGCTGTAGTGTAGTGATTACAAGTTTTCAAGAGATCGAAGTTCAAGTTCTCACTAAAAGGAGAAATGGATGTCGGAGATAGCCATGACTGGAAGAGGGGGATCCTTAAGTAATGAAAGCACAGGTTTCTCTTACCTCCAGGAATATGTAAATTAACTTACTTGGCGATTGGTCTTCAGGACTTTAGCATTAGGTCTCTTTGAAGTTTGATTTCACAATCTTTCTCTAATGCCCAAAGCTGTATGGCCTGAAAAGAATCAATTAGTCTCTTGTAACTTGAACTATTCATGGTAATTTATACATGTTAACATTGATGAATACTAATTTTATTCTCCCAATATCAGGGTGCAACTACACAGTGGAAAAAATGTGAGTAGACCCTCTGTGAAGTTGCACCTGGGAAGTTGAATTTCCCAGGGCTAATTTACTTCAGTCATCACACTGAAGTCAGCAGAGAGAATGGAGGAAATCAGTTTTGTTTGCAGTGTGTTGACCATTTGAATCCTCTCTTCTTCATACCTGGTGTCTGGGTCTGTTTGTTTCCCTCTTCCCTTCCTGCTTGCTTGCTAGCTAGCTAGCTAGAGATAAAAGAAGTGAGGAATCAGCAGGAGACAGGAGGAAGTCTTCAGTTCAACCTTGCTTCTAGCTTGTTAATGTCACTTTTTTGGCTGTTCATATTTACAAGAGGCACAGTTAGAACTCAGCTACCTTAAAACTTCCTTCCCTCTCTCTGTTGATTCCTTGCTCTCCCCTCCCCACATCAGTTACCTAGCTGCCCTAGTACTAGATCAGCAAGCCTTTAAAAAGAAAAGGGAGGAAGGAAGGAAATGAAAGCACACCCAGGCATGAAGTGTTGGGAGCAGAGGGTACAAATGGTAGCCAGATTCCCCATTTTCCCCTCTCTCTCACTAGTGCTGAAATGGATTTCAGTACAATAGTTACGAACCCCTCCACATTGGATCAAGTGATCACACTCTCTGAACCAACATGAATGCATTTGATTCCTAAAAAGTAGAAACCCCAGTGACAGAAGAAAAAACTACAGATTAGTGGGAACTCTGGGCTAATTCAGTGACTTTTATATCATTTCTTACATTATTTCTCATTGTAGTTGCACCCTCAGTTGACAATTCAAATATTTGTCAAGGGATTTACCCCTCACAGGGGAAACATAGTCTTGATCCTGTACTGCTTTTTATTTAGGTCATGCCAACACCTTGTTAATTTGCAATAATTATATGAGTTTTTGTAATGGTTTACAAACTTCAGGAGAAATGGGTAATATGTCACATTGTTAAAGATGACATGGCAATTCAATTGTTGAATGTGTTAGCTACCATTTAGTGGTACTAATGATTTAACAAGGCATTATTCTGATTCTCAGCTCAGTCTCACTAATAAAAAACACTTGCCTTCCTTTAATTTCGAAACAATGCCTTTTCTGTTTTGAGAAGTGGTAAAAACAGATGAATATAATTTAATTTCATGACCCAGTTACTTTGGCAATATTAAAGAACTGGATATGCTCTGTTTAGAGAAACAAAGTAGAATTTAACCAAACAGCACTGATTATATACTGGCATTTTCCTTACCCTCCACTACTAGGCAACTTTGGTGAAAGTAAGCCTAGTTGTTTTCAATGGAGCTTACCTTCTGGTAAATGTCTCTAGGATTAGGGCCCTGCTTTTGAATTGTTGCACAATGTTAGTGGAATGCAACTGA